CTTAAAAACTTATAAATATAATATTCTTTCGTACGAAACGATCTTGATGAAAAACAGGAAAACGAAGATACTGATGAGAACATTTGTATTGCTTGTGAACAGGCTTTGAAATCCAGAGACATGGCCGATTAGGTTTAGAGATGCATAGTAAGTTACTAAGTAAAGAATAATAACGTGAGACGGCAGCTCAAGGAATATAAGAAAATGATATATGAAGAGGAAGACGAAGAAATCGAAGAAGATAATAACAATGCGAGACGGCAGCATGGCCAAAGAAAACATAAGTTGATGTATGATTATGAATATGAACAAGAAGACGAAGAAAACGACGTTGCAGACGAAATAGGTCAATACGGATTGAGAAAACAGGTTAGAAAATAAGTAAGTTTAAGTTTCTGTTTTGGTTAATTATCAGGATTTTAATATCTGATTATATACATAAATTCCTTTTTTCTTGTATTTCAGCCTGATGTCGGTTATAAGAGAATGTGAAATATTGAATCAGAGGATAGCGACGATTACGAGGAAAAGGATTTCAATATCATGGACGTAAGAGAGCTATGCGTTATTCGAAAATTGAAAGATAAATTTAATAAAAAGTTTAACTTGATTACATTAATCGTCATTATGCCTACCATTTATAATCAGGGAACGTTTAATTCCTGAAGTAATTTTTAAGGCTATTTCCAAGGTTCTCTAATCTCATATGAATATTTAATTAGGATTCAATTGACAATTTTACATATTCCTATGTTTATTGGTGGTTGTGGAAATCGTTTTTTTTTTTTGTTTTTTTTTTTTAAAGGGTGTAGATATAGGCTGTGGAGGGTGCCCGATGTTTGATTCGAATTAAAGACGAGAAAGATGTAAACGTATGCTGCTCAAAAGCCATTATAACGGGGATTTCAATGTTAGAGGATAAATGAAACAAATCTAGATGTGATAAAATTAGACGACGTCATTATTATCAGCAACAAGAGACTGAACAATTATTATAAGGGCTAGGGTAGATAAGGGACTTTGTGGGATAAATGATTATTAAGCGTTTTCAGGATGTTCTACCCGAATATCAAATAATTTTGATTTCTCGGGACAATCTTTGCTCAGTAATTTTTAGTGGGGAGAAAAACTGGTTTATCTATACCACCTCGATAATCACTACGATTAATTAACAAAACTAACAGCCATTTTTAAAGTGAACAATTTTTGTGTAAGGGATATAATAATAACAATTAATAACTGCAAATTCATTTGCGAATTATGCCATCTGTCAGTGGCGGATCCAGAAATGTC